AGCTGGACCATGGGCAAAATGGAGCTGATACCCCCAGTGTCCAACACTAGTCTCCTCACTAAAGATAGGTAAATGCATATACTGAATTAGCTTTTTCCCATCTTGGATGTGTAATCTGTTGATCAAGAAGGGTTTTTCTCACAGTTTGAGTTTTAGTCTTCAACTTCAAATTTGTACTGAAAAGTGACGTATTACACTTATTTCCAGCTCTATATTTTTATTCATTCACAGTTTGCAGGTTTCACAGTTCAAAGTGATCATTATTTATCTTCCAAAGAGCCTAAACCAGCCATCAAGTCATCCTATGTCTGAAACAAGTTTATTATGTGCAGGTATCATGTCGGTGGCTGCACATAATGAACATTGCAATGTATGTAGAACAAGAAAGAATGTAAATGCATGTAAACAGTACTCTTCAGCTGCTATATAACCAAACATCTCAACATGAAACCCTAATCACTGTTCATCTTTATATAACAGTAATGTCCCCAGTGTGGAGCCTGACTATAGCCAGACCTACACCCCGCAGACCCACCCGCCCTTCATGTCCAGCAGCGCTCCTCCCAGCAACAGTGGTGCAGGTATTCTACCATCCCCAGCCACACCACGCTTCTCTGTGCCCACACCGCGCACGCCCCGCACTCCACGGACTCCACGTGGCCCATCCAGCGTCCAGGGTTCCCTCAAGTATGACAGTTCTGACCTTTACTCTCCTGCCTCCACGCCCTCCACCTGCCGACCCCTTAGTTCTGTTGAGCCAGCCACCGTGCCCTCAATTCCCGAGGCTCACAGCCTATACGTCACGCTCATACTTTCAGAGTCAGTCATGAACCTCTTCAAGGACTGCAACTTTGACAGTTGCTGTGTGTGTGTCTGTAACATGAACATCCGTGGGGCAGATGTAGGCGTATACCTCAAGGACAACGGCGAGGCCCAGTATATATGCACTTGTGGTTTTAGCGCTGTTACCAATCGGCGCTTTGGCCAGTCAGCTGGGCTCTTTCTAGAGGATGAACTGGACGTAGTTGGACGGGGCTCTGATGCTGCTCGAGATACAGAGCGGTGTTTTGAAGAGCTGCGAGCTTCTACATCACACAAAGCCAGCAGCCTGAAGGAGAAGCCTCCAGATGAGTTAATCCTGTTGCTGCAGGACCAGTGCACCAATCCATTTGCCTCGATGGCTGGTGTGGAGTACCCCAAACCAACTTCAGCCCCCAGTTCGTTCCTAAGGGTGGAAGAGAGAGACTGTTATAACGACTGCTACATGGCACTGGAGCATGGCAGGCAGTTCATGGACAATATGTCAGGAGGCAAAGTCGATGAAACACTAGTGAAAAGCACCTGTCTTCATCAGTGGCCCAAACGCAAATGTATGTATTCTCACATTACTGCTGCTTTAAATGTAGAGTTCTTCCTTATGTGTTTCTAGCAGAAATGTAATACTTGTTTCCTATTGTTTCTCCACTTGTAGCAGCAGACATGAGCAAGCTATACTCTGTGGATGTCCTCCGGGTGTTGTTGTCCCTCCAGCCTGTGCTGCAGGACACCATTCAGAAGAAAAGGAGTGTGCGCTCTTGGGGCGTTCAGGGGCCACTTACCTGGCAGCAGTTCCATAAAATGGCTGGGAGGGGATCATATGGTGTGTCGAAAGCGTTTTTTGTCTGTTTGTTTGTTTGTTTTATAGAGATAAATAGAATATTGTGGAAGTTTATGGCTTTGTTGTCTTCAAAGACACTAACTTGTCTCCTTATCTTCACAGGTACTGATGAGTCTCCTGAGCCTCTGCCCATCCCAACCTTTCTGGTTGGTTACGAATATGATTTTGTGGTACTGTCTCCTTTTGGGTTGCCCTACTGGGAGAAGCTTCTCCTGGATCCTTTTGGTTCCCAGAGGGATGTGGGATATGTTGTCATTTGCCCTGATAATGAGTCTCTGCTCCGCGGGGCCAAGACCTTTTTCAAAGATCTAAGTGCAATGTATGAGGTATGCACCTGGCAGTTTATTAAACTCACCCTTCCTGTGCTGACATGTCTACAGAAACTGTTTTGTAGCTCTGCAAAAGTGATTCACACTGTTGCACTCTCTTTTCTTTTCTTTTTTTCCTCTCGACAGGCATGCCAGCTGGGGCAACACAGGCCCATCTGCAAGAGTCACCCAGAGGGCATATTGAAGGTTGGCACCAAAGAAGGCAGGAGCATGACAGAGCAGCCTCTTAGTGACTGGTTCGTTAAGATGGCTGCCAGAGAAGGAAACAATGAAGCCTTTAATAAGCTCAAACTCTTTGCTCAAGTGTGCTGCTATGATCTAGGTAATGTGATTGCTTGTAGTGCTGAAAACCTAAAGTAAGTAAAATCGCGTGGTTTGTAAAAATGATGATTTATCATTTCATTTTTATTTTGGGATCCATTTCAGCTCCATACCTGTCAGAGCAGTCTTTGGATAGCTCTCTGTTGACCCAGCGGAACCCTACCACAGCCGCCACCCCCTCCTTCCAGACCTCTAGCTCTTCCAGCACTTCATCAGGACTCCAGAGCACCAACACTACCGGCTCCAACACCAGCTCTGCCCAGCCTGCCCAGGTCAACAGCACCCCTCCCTCTTCATCCTCAGGCTCACAGACTATCGGGGGAATGACCTCAGCCAAGCCAAGTTCCTTCTCGCCATTTGGAACAGCAGGCTTGCAGGGTGGAGCGTCTCAGAATGGACCCCAGCCAAACTCGCAGGGCACAGGGGGAATGGCTGAAAATGGATCGTCTGCTTACCAGTCTCAAGGACCCACTGAGAGCCCAGAGAGGTAGTTAGATCTGCTGTTACATCACCTGGCCAAAGGACCAGTGACCTTATGCCGTAACTAGGCGGCTGTTGTCTTATCTCTCCATATTTCCCAAAAATTGTTACAGAGTCATATTTGTTTTTGTTTTTTTTATGCACAGTCACTTGGGATCTGTGACGGTTCATGAGCCAGATTATATTTTGAATCTTTTCCTAGCAAATGCCAGTTTGCTCATTTCAATTATTTCTATTTGGTAAATGGTAAATGGCCTGTATTTGTATAGCGCTTTTCTAGTCCCTAAGGACCCCAAAGCGCTTTACACATCCTGTCATCCACCCATTCACACACACATTCATACACTATTTGACAGAATATCTCAAGTAGTAGAGCGTTGTAGTTTGGTACTTAGCTCACAAGCCTTTTCATAACTGGTATGCATTCATGGGATAGATAACCAGTGCTGAGTTATTATTTTAAGCTGAGATGGAGATTGTTTCTACAACTGCTTTACAAAGACAATCTGATAAAAACACACTGACGTGCTCAGTTCCTCGACAGTTCTGTGAGACACCTTCTTTCAAAGGTCACCAACACGTACACATGGTTTGTTTGATATGTGGGGTTTTTAGGCATTCATTGACCAAATAGTCTTATCGGTTGTAGATTATATTTAAGGTTGATGAATGACCACATTGGTAACACTGCATAATCAGCAGGGAAAGTTCATCCTCTGGCTAAAAAAGTATTGTGTGTCACGTGTTTTGAAGGCAGTATAATATTAGTGCGATCTGAAGTTTTGTTATGGCAAAACACATCTCATGAGCGCTGCGTGTCTCTACTTTTATCTCAGTAATTTTATTTTTACATTTCTTCCGATGGGAGCTGCGCCTGCCAAGATTTGGCTTGAGCCATTTTCATACATGATATTTGGACAGTTTCTTTCACATGTAGCACATAGCAGGCACAATTATACTGGAAATACTGGAGTTTATGTCAGGGAGCTACCTAAATAAAATGTGCACGCGGCAGTATACAAACATCCATTTGCTGGAGATAAATACACTGAACAACTACAAAGTGTGGATCAACAGAGCCCAGAAAAGTGTGGACTTTGTAGTTGGGCTGGCAGGTTAAATAGTGGCTAATATCTAATCTGATTGCTCTGAGTGTTAATTTTTGTTTTTTTCATGTGCATGTCTTTCTAGTAATGTCTCCAAAAAGGTTAAGGCTGCACAGGACGCATGCAAAAAGCTTCAGTTGCACACTGTGAACAGTAATATGAACATTATTGACAGATCTGATGAAGATAATTTCTTGGCCTGTTTCAGTAATTATCTGCCTAATTTTTAACAGCACAATGGAGAGAGACAAAGTGGGTAAGCCAACAGACGGAGAGTCCCATGCTGTGTCTTACCCGCCTGCTATAGTGGTGTACATCGTCGACCCCTTCAGCTACGAAGACACAGACAGAGAAGTCCATTCGAGTACCTACACAATGGGCCTACTGCGCTGCTACATGGAAATGCTCCACATCTTGCCTGCTTGCATCAGAAACTCTGTCTCTGTGCAGGTAGAACAGCACTCTTAATAGTTTTAAAATTTTATAACTGCAGATTAAAGATGCGGCTAAATATTCTGCGTAGTGTATAAAAGAACAGACTCCAAAAGTCAAAGATATTTCACAAAATAAATTCATTTTCTAAATATAATCTACAGTTTAATAACATCTGCTCAGTTTTCTACTTTGGTTATAATAGAGAGGGTTACCAGCTGCCACAAAGGGAGGTGAGAAGGAGCGGGGGAATCATTAGCAGGCACTAATGGAGGTGGTAACTTCCACACCTGTGATATAGTGGCACAAGATTGCATCAGTATGCCAGAGGGAGTTCTGAAACACAAGAGGCGTGAATGTGCTAATGGTTTCAGTACAGCAGCAGCATAACGGTGTGGGCTAATATCCATTCAGTCCTATTGCTGCAGACATGCTAATCTCTCAGATGTGCTGTCATTAACTCTTCCTTCGAGCTAAGACGTGGCAATATTCTTAGTTTAGTAAACAAACGGTTTGGTTTGACCTCCGTCTTCTATGAACAATATAAGATTAAAGATACCCGTACTTCTTATCATAATTATAATTACCATAATCACTCACACTTGCCAGTATAGTAACAGTACTGGTAATGTGGTGCAGATGTTTACAAGTACTGATGTGCACAAAGTCTTTTCACAAAGTTTTAATATTTGGGGGGAGAAACATTTGATCACTCAAATATATATGCAAGGATTTGAAGGTGTGGATGCCTTTCACTGGGAGCTACAGAGACTGTTACAGCGTTCCTGTGGATTAATACTTTTAAAACCAATTCTGATCTTTGGATGAAGCAGAAATTTCACGTTGGGATTAAACTTACTTACAGCAGTGTAGTTTTTGAAGTTCGGGGTTCACTAATGTTTCTTTCACCATAAACTATTACTAAAAAGTGCGCAATTGTCAGAAAGACCTGTTTTGAGATTTCCATGTCCATGAATGATCTTCTACAACACAACCCAGTCAGTAACACAGAGAAACTTTCAGTAAAAACAAATGTGTAGTGAAGCTTAAGTCTAACAAATCCATAAACATCCAGCACTACAGGCTGTCCTAAAATGCCTTTTTTCCTCCTTTTGTGTCAGATTGTTCCCTGCCAGTATCTGCTCCAGCCGGTGCACAGCGCAGGGCGCCACGTCTACAGTCAGCACCTCAAGTCGCTGGCTTTCTCTGTGTTCACTCAGTGTCGTCGGCCTCTTCCCAACTCCACCAATTTCAAGGCTCTGACGGGCTTTGGTCCTGGTCTTGCCATTGACATGGCACTCAAGAACCCAGAGGTAACTACCCTGATGCTGAACTTCTGAGTTTTGTTGAAGCTGTATGTGTACAGACAATTATGCTGTTGTACCTTCTGTCACTCTCAACTTGAATATGGTTTTTTTTGTGTTTGTGTGCTGTGCAGAGGCCTGAGTGTCTGCGTCTCTACACGCCACCCTTCATTTTGGCTCCAGTGAAGGACAAGCAGACTGAGCTCGGGGAGACGTTTGGTGAGGCATCGCAGAAGTACAACGTCCTGTTTGTCGGCTACTGTCTGTCACATGACCAGCGATGGTTGCTGGCCTCCTGCACCGATCAACACGGAGAACTGCTGGAGACCTGCATCATCAGCATCGATGTGCCGAACAGGTGCCTGTTCACGAAAGATTTACCTCAGTACCACAGAATCAGTTTGGTTGTTGATACCTAAGTCTTTGTAGTTGAGTGTAAAACAATCTTAGTCAACAAAGACTAAATATGATAAATGTCTTTGTTTTAAGACTGAAATGAAACATTTTTAAACAATAAAGGCTAAACCCACTGTGGAAAGTAAATGACACTAAATTAAACTGAAAGCTAGAGAATCAAAAGTAATTAAAAAGCAAAACTACCTCATAAATGCATGTCTGTATTATTGTTGCTGCAGGGCTCGCAGGAAAAAGGGCTCAGCCCGACGGCTGGGTCTGCAGAAGCTGTGGGAGTGGTGCCTCGGCCTGGTGCAGCTCACGTCACTGCCATGGAGGGTCGTTATCGGGCGGCTTGGAAGGATGGGGCACGGCGAGCTGAGAGGTACACACTTCAACAGTGTCTGCAGAGCGGGCAGTTTATACACACACACACACACACTTATGTGCTTGTGTCTTGTCTGTTTCAGACTGGAGTATTCTGCTGAGCAGGAGGAACTTGCAGTCCCTCAGCAGGCGACTGAAGGAGACGTGCAGGATGTGCGGCATATCTGCTGCTGACACTCCCAGCATCCTTAGCGCCTGCTTAGTTGCCATGGAGCCTCAAGGTTCCTTTGTGATTATGCCAGGTAAAAGAAATAATATTTAAAGTTTGGCTAGTTTCACTTCATTTACAAAAAGCCTGTAAATCTGA